AGCCAAACCTGATTAAGCAGAGCGCAAACGGAGCTGTGGGCTGGACCAGATGAGGACCAGCAGATGCTTTTCACACTGTGGTGTTGTATCTGCTGCACTGTGCCGCACCACAGCCTCTCAAAAAAACTCCTCAACTAGCAACACAGCGTGGCCCCCTGCCCCGGCCCCATTCTCATCGCCTCCACTTTACACCATTAGCATGTAAATGACAGCTGAGCCCCTTCGCCTGTGGGTGCTGATAGGCTGCTCCAGACCTCCAGCTTCTCGGTGAATTAATATAATTTTCCTCATTGTTGTGGGATTATGTGGGGGTGGGTGTTGAGCGGTCAGGTTGATTCTTAGTATAATTACGAGAGGTTGTTGTGTTGTAGAGATTTACACCACTTCACATTCATGAAGATGCCGTAGTGGAGAGAAGCACACGAGAGAAACTGTGGCATTTATGATCTAGAACAATCTGTGACTGGGAGACAAACTCTTAACATAGAAACATTTCCAGTTTCTGTTCTCCATTTGTTATATTCTCTCTTTCTTTTATTCAAGGTCATATGGAAGCTATTATAGCTTGCACCTATTGAATGTATATGTTTCACTACGTTGAAAATGTATACACAAAAAACAAACAAGAAAAAGAAATACACATATTTGGTATACAAGAAATGCTGATACAGGTATTGTGCATGCACAGTTAGTCTAATGTCTATCGAGTGTGCTTGACAAAAGGTAGATTAAAGAAATTGTTTGACATTTGGGAAATACGCTTCTTTGCAGTTTTTAAGACAATTGATCATATGAGATGATTGATACCACATTTGCGTGTCTCCCCAAATGTCAAACATTTGAAGGCACACTTATCAGACATATTGGACTGTTCCTGTGTCCAGAGAGTTTCAGCTTGTATGACATTTATGTTACACACAATTGTTTAAAAAATATTCACCTTGACCATCAGCATTCCTCTGTGAAACAACAAATGACTGTGAGTTTTTCGAGAAAATAAAACTAGACACGTTTTAGAAACACTGGATTAGATAAAAGTTTCTAAAACTTTTAGGATTGCTTTTCAAACTTACTTAAGGATGATGTGTTTTTCAGGGCAGCATTTTCCTTCAAGATCTCCAGTTTAATGGATGCACAAAGCTAATCCTGGGGCGCAAAAATGGATAAGATCCCATAATGCAATAATTCCCCCGAAACCAATGTTTTTTATGGTTGACAGGCAGCAGGCATTTAGATTTAGAAAGCTTACGTCTCGTTTTTTTCCCAGCTATATCTCCTAGGAGCAATCTGGGTCCAGTGATGGCCTAGTTCTGTCCCTCTATTTTGGGCAACCCTTTAGAAAGTATTAAACAGAAGAGAACAATGCCATTTTTGAGCGGCAGCATTATGAAATACTCTCGCAGATGAGTGCCACATCTGTCCAAAGTGTTGTGAGAGAGGACTGGAGTGACATCAATAATATGAATCCAGACTGTAATACCTCTCGACGGAGTTCTATAAAGTAACAGTCTCAGTTGCACATCTGTTTGCATGCATTAGCATGATTCATAACTGCAGTTTGTGTGTCCTCAGAGTTCAAGTGATTGTAAGCCCCACTGGAAACACAAACGACCGGCTTTTGATGAAGTCATTAACTGGTTTTAGCTGGATGGGGACAGAGTCTTTCCACAAGTTACATTTCTGTTTTATTTCATTGCAGAGTGAAGATGAAACGAACAAAAAATACTCTCTTTTCATCATGTATAATGTTCTAATAAAGGGTTCAGTAAAGGGCGTACGCAAGATAGTGTACCTTTGATGTCAAACACATCCTGTGATTCAAAATAAATTACATGAAGCTCTAAAAAATTGCTTCAGATAAAAGAGAAGTAAAACAAGAGTGCACAATAATCCCATTTTCCTTAGACTACAGATGCATCTGCCCATTCCTAATAACTGTAGTTTGTCTTCCCTTTGTCTTGTTTTAAAATAACAAAAAGAATAAAAGTTACGGGAGAAGAGTTTTAACAAACTGAAAAGAAAACACTGGAGAAGGCGGCCATATTGACTTCACTGGCTTTCAAGTTGAAAGCCAGTGTAGAAATCCTCAACATCCTCCGACCCTTTGATGTGATTAAGATGGATTCAGACTTTCCCTCACAATTGCTCTGCTAATGGCCACTATCTAAACCATGAACACTGCTGTAAAGTATAAAGATAATAACTTTGTAATATTTTGTAAATTTAAATTAGATTAATTCAGGACCATTGACTGAGAAATGGAGAGTACAATATGTTAAACATGCAGAAGATGTTGCAAATTGTATATGCAAATGTAATCATTAATGCAGCACTTTTGCCGACTACACAATCATCATCTAATACTAACTAAACCCACAGCAACAAAGCCAACTAATGACATTACGGTATACCACTGTGAGTCATTCCACCATTGCACAAAAGCACTCACAGGCTCTTCAGCAGAAGAAGTCAAGGATGAATCACCAAGTAGATTTAGGCAACAAGAAATAAATACTTTCTAACAGCCCAGTTTATCCACACTAAAACTTGGAGCTGTTGTCTGGAGTTTGCAGGGAGAAAGTCACGCTCTGTGTTTAAAAGGAAAAAGTGCTCTAAATCCATTTAAAAGACGAGAGCAGACAATGACGGGAAAAAGTAATGAATATTTTACAGGCAGGGAGTGCGGAGCTGCACTCCAGGTGACACTCTCACGTTTATAGAGTATATCAGAAACCCATCACCCATCAGGCAGGACCAAGGCAAAGCCATGTGTCTGATTGTTTATCAGAAGCCAGTGTGTGGTCCCCTGTTACGTGCATCGGGACAATCACAGGGACATTATGCTGTAAATTGGACATACAAATGACCTTTTTGATGGAGTGCTTCTGTTGAAATTTGGCTTTGAATGTCTCAGATTAGAGACGGGCTATATGAGGAAGCAGTGTGCCTGCAATATAATGGTTCCCTGCTGGGATCTAATATAGATTGTTATCAGGTTCCCTGTCAAATGATAAATTATGTTAACCTTCTGCTTTAACCCTTTAATTTCCTTCAAATGGTTACAAAGAGATCCAATGTATAAATTATGTGAGCTTGTTCCACTTTTAAGCTTTGAGACGTTGCCCAAACATGGGGTACATTTTTTTGTCATTTATTGTTTTCTTTTGGCACTTGCACTACTGTATAGATGTAAATGGTATGCCACAATTTTAACACCGAAACAATACGTTTCAACTTCAATATTAACCAAAACTGTCCTGTTTGACACATAGTATCCTGTAACTGCTGAATGACAGGCACCATATATCAATATTCTGCACAGTGAAAACATAGACTTTTGACAACTTTAACAACAACAAAGGAGGGCTTTCACGATATCAGATGTTCACTGCATGATAAAAATGGCGAAATAATTCATGTTAGCAATATTAATACGATATTGACAAAATATATAAATATTTATGCCATCAGTCCAGTTCAGGTTTAAGTGTAACTACTTTAACTAATAGTTTAAGGACATTAAATTAAGTCTACAAACATCATTGTTTAAAATCATGATGTAAGAAGCGCTGGATCATTTACACAATATTATCATATGCGATTAATCATATGCCAATATATATATATTTTAATATTACAGTTGTTGCAACATCAGTAGAGACCCCTTCTTAAAATTGTAAACAAGTAAAAATTATCTGTGGAATACAAGGGACTTCTTTCCATCTGTGGGATGAGATGCATGAAATTATAAACATAAATGTCAGGCACTGCTGGCGCTCTATGTTTTCCTTTTGTCTCTTAAAATCTCCTCTGAGTTTATGGGTTTTTGCTCGTGTAATAGACGGCCTCTGGAGAGAAAGAGCAATTGTATGAAATTAAAAGGAAACCTCCTGTGTAGGGTAATGTGTTTGTATGCACATCAAAAGGAACAACAAAGTGGAGCTGACAACATCTCTCTGTAGCTTGTGTGACACGCGCTGTGCCAACCCTGCCTGTGAAGAAGTCCTTGAACAAGGGCGGTTTTTGATTTGCCGTTCCTGTGTGTGACAGACTTTGTGAGTTCTCCACTGCTCAAGGTGCCTGCCAATTGAATGACTTTGCTGCGAGGGATTAACAATTACAGCGATCTATCTCTTTATGAAATCTTTCTGTAGCTCTTGAAAAATAATTTCCAAATGTTTGACTACAGCACACGCACACAGACCAGTGTAGGCAAAGACTTTACATGTGCTTGCATCATCATCCTTTTACAGTGATTGAGCTTCCTCTGCCTGCTGCTGCTCTCCCTCAATGCATCCCTCTTTCTTCTTTTCTCCCATTCTGAGTTTAAATCCGGTCTCGCCAGCAGCCTTCTTCTTCTTTATCACATAGCAGAAATATGTAAAATTATGGGGGGATGACAATACCATTTCACCCCTGACTAGGTTTTCTCCTTGCATTAGCGGAGCACAAATAATCAATAAATGAAGGGGGAAAAGAGAAGCATAGCTAAATCAATCCAGGCTTGCAGTCAAGGTGAGAAAGTCACTTGCATGGTCTCTCGTAAAATCAGCTGCTAGACAAAGACTGTCTATCACAGACCTAGAGGCCATCGCTGCTGTGGATAAATAACCATGGGGTCAGAAGTGGAAGGCTGGATTCTAACCTGTATTGTATTTCTCACACCATAATTGCATGCAAAACAAAAATGTAGGCAAAGATCATCCTAACACTACTTACGCTCGCTTAATTTTGTTTTTCTCTTGCTTTAATCGAATTCCAATGTCAACACAGGGAAAGGGTTATTAGGAGAAAGCACATTTCCTCAAGACATTTCAGAGAATATAAACAACCAGCACCGACTAAATTGTAGCACATCTTTTACTTTCCTTTGCTGTTTCACTCAATCCCTGCAGAGCATTATTGATGTTTGGTGGAGGAAGTTTGAATGCTTTTCAAAGAAGACTGAAACTCTTTTTTAGGAGAAATGCGCCACACTGGCTACAAAAAGAGAGAATGGGGGAGAAAAATGTTCATTAAGATTTATTCATATGAAAATAATATGACATAAGATAACATAACAGATGTTTTAAACTGCGTTAAGAGGGACTGTGTTCAGTGTAATGTCAAGGGCTGTCCTTGAATACAAAATCTGACAGATTATATATTCACTTTTTTAACACTTGACATCAGGGAATTGAATGCAGTCATGCAAAATGACTTGGTTTTTTTTACATCTAGATTGCAGCAACACATATTCGTGAATATTTTAGTGATTTTTGCAGATAACTATGCGGATAACTCTAAAAACATAAAAAAAGACCCAGCCCATCTTCATTTCACTAACTGACTAATAAGGGGCTGTCTCACAAATATTATAATTGAGTGCATTGTTCTTAACATCATGTCCATCACATAACAACACTCAGCATCCTATTCCATACGGTAATTTCTTTTAAAACGGATCATTAAGTGACGATCTTCTGCCTCAAAGCACAAAATAACTGTGACATAATGTACTAGTCTAGCCTGCACATCTTTCGAGACTCCCTTCTCAGCTGGCATCCCAAGACATTTCACTGTCAAACCCAGAGAGCAAATAACAATGCATCTGTATTGTTGTATAGGTTTATATGTATATATATATTTTAAATATATTCCCTCTTCACTTTGTGTCTTGCTAGTTTCTGCTGTGTCTTTTTTCACTGTAGCTCTGCCAGGGACACATTTGTGCTATTTCATTTCTTGGCTGCTAATAGGGGTCAATGCAAGTCGTGTTTTACTTAAAGCCCCGTTTGACCTTCAACAGCAGTTCAGTCAAGCTTGACCAGGAAATGTGGTCGGAACAATGTGGTAATGTCTGATAAATGGTTTAAGTGTATCCTTGGCCCTTGGCAGGTGCAGTAAAGGAATGTGCTTCTGTGTAATCCTTGATTGTCGAACACTGACTACCTACCCCTCGTGTTAGTAAAGTGCACACAAACTATGGGCCCGGGAATATTTTATATTTACGTGACAAAAGCAAGCGTGTCCCAGCAGCTCTGAGCTGAGTGATTAACGGGTTAAAAGGCTGATGTGCTTTAGGCCCACGAGAGGTAGCTGGCCTTGTAGCTATTATGCTGAAGTGTCAGAATTATGAAAAACGTGTAGGTGGAGCCATTGAGCGGAGAACAAGTCGTGTCAGGCTTATCTGCCACTTAAATGTTGAATTAGACAAAGTCTGACGCCTGGAAAGCAATAAGAATAATCTAACTACTCATTATCATCAGAAAACCCACTATACCACCACTTGACGTAGCTCCAGTAACATATACCTAAAGAGAAATCTCTGAAAGTCTCCTCTAGTTAGTGCTCCTACTATAGATTACCATGTAATTTAGATGTTCCTGTATAAATACCAAGTACAGTTTGGCTAAAGGAGATTTATTTGGTCCACTGTGCATGTGCTTGATATTCTTGTGCTTGTGCCTTTATCCTGTATTGTAATAAGTTCTAGAAAATGTCCTTAATGCAGGGTAAGTGGACAGACGAGAGGCTGTGTGTGAGTGCAGACGTACAGTCCTCGGCCGACTGCAGGAAAACAACTCCAACTAAACAATCTGGCAAAGCCCTGCTGAAGCATTAGAGCAGTTTGTGTCCTATTGGTCTATGTAGGATACATCCACAAGAGTAACTCTCAGTTATTCTACTCCCTCACAGCGTGGGTCAATGTCCGTTACACAGTTGTTTCGATCTTCTCGATGATCTCTATCATGGACTTGGAGGGGGACAGCAGAGAGCATTCGTCCTGATCCCAGAGGCTGCCGGGGCTGGAGTTCCCGTCGGTACTCAACTCGTCCTCCTCCTCCTCCTCGCTCTCCTCCTCACAGGACTCTAGGTAGTGCAGACCCAGCGCGTTGATACCAGAGTCCTCGGAGCTAGACGGAGAGGAGCAGTGGTCCATTTTGGGGCCTTTAATCTTATCCACGGTGGTAGGATGTTTGTGTTCGCTGTACACCTGCTGGACCGGCTGCACAGGGGCAGGCACGTGTTTGGTTGGCTTCACCGGTTGCCGAGGCTGCGCGGGATTTTGTGGCATCTTAGGTGTAGCGGCAGCAGGTGGGGGAGGAGTGGGAGCATGAGGAGGTTCTGGTAAGGGGGGCGATGGGCGCTGCACATAGCACATCTTCCCGTTGATGCGTTTGACGATGTAGTCGTCCACGAACAGATCGGCGATGATGCAGTACTTTGGGGACTCCAGGAGAGGAGGGGACTGGAAGCTGGGCGCGAGCTTCAGGAAGCGCTCAGCCAGAGAGACGGACAGGTCCATGGTGTTACTGTACTCCGTCTCAACAGCTGGCACCGACGTGCTGGGCAGCTTGCACACGTTGGTCATGGGCTGGTACACATACTTGCCTAAAAGGAGAAAAAAAGCTCTGATTAACTGACTGTGGTAAAACATCTCCCTGCTTAGCTGCTTAGCAATTAGCTGGTGTACATAGACACATATTTCCGGAGATGATGGAGACAACGTATCACAGTGCACTGAGATTTGTGACAAACTGTAAAGCATTAACCCATCACTGTACCCTGTATGCAAGGGCTGGTTTGCCTTCGCTAACTGTACGGAGGCTCAGTCACTGGTACATTTTTATATACAAAGCCATGTTAGGGAAACTTCCATCCTACGTCTGCTCCCTGATCTCACGGCGAATTGTAAGTGGCTACTGCCTGAGATCGCATGCTGTGTTTTTATTAAATGTGCCAACTGCTAGGACTGTCTTAGGGAAGATAGCATTTAGATGCGCAGCTCCTAAGTCTTGGAATAGTCTGCAATTGAAATGGAAACTGAACAATCTGGTGCCACTAAATGTTTTTAAAGCTCGGTTGGATGCTACTCAATTGGAAGCTGTTGGTACCTGTTCATGTGGATAGTTATGTAAATTGTAAATCCCTGTAATGATGCTGTATGATGTCCTTTTTGTTGTTCTGTTTATGTTTTTGTGTTTCATGTGGAACCTACTTGAGCAGGTCTCCCTTGAAAAAGAGATCAATGATCTCAATGGGATACACCTGGATAAATAAAGGTTTGAAATGAAATGAAAATGAATGGTGGACTCCATTCAGTTTACAGTGGGTGGCCTGAAATATTCCTCATACATAATCATAATGTAGCTCTCTGTTTACTAATGTGTTTGGCTTAAAAGATGATAAGAAGTTGGTGTTGTGTTAACAGCTTGTATCTGTGGCCCCAAAGCAACCAAAAAAACACAAAATGCAGTTTTAAATCAATCAAAAATAGCAAATCAAGCCAAATTATGGCACCACGTGGAGACATTTGGCAGAAATCTCGAAAGCAGCATACAAATAGACTTCATTGTATTTCATTTAAACAAGCTTTGCTCAAAAGACACAGTCAAAAATCAAACATTTTACAACTTGTTTTCTTGTTTCTCTGCATCCACTGTTCTGCAAAGCATTTTTGAGTGTTTTCAAAAATCCCTTTTTCATTTCATTTAATTTCAAACCTTTATTTATCCAGGTGTATCCCATTGAGATCATTGATCTCTTTTTCAAGGGAGACCTGCTCAAGTAGGTTCCACATGAAACATAAAAACATAAACAGAACAACAAAAAGGACATCATACAGCATCATTACAGGGATTTACAGGGACCTTTATCTTCCTGTCAAGCAGATATATATCTTAGATGATACTTGGTGGCTTTCATATACACAACATCTTTCTCAAATGTGAACCCTTCCAATCATGTAGTCTAAGCAGATGCTACAAAGTTAGTTGGGACTGGCAGGCAGGAGCAAATAGTGTCTCTATGATAACTTATCATGCCTCCTTTGAAAGCAGGTATAGAAATGTCCCCATCACAAAGCATTACCAGCTGCCAACGGCAAAAATACCTGAGTGTAACATACTTTAAAGTCCAGGCTACCCAGTGCAGTGCAGCAATCACTGATGCAAGACTTTCATTTTTTTGGGAAATGACGAAATAAGACTTCATAGCCAAGTGGTCATAGCCAATGCCCTATTATAGCATGGCCTCCGGGCCATATACGGCCCGCGAGACAATTTGGTACGGCCCTCGAGGTAATTTATAAACACACGCAAAAAAGAAAAAAATGTAAGAAAACTAGACCGCAAACAAATTAAACAAGCTAGTGCCTGTTTTTCCTGGCACTCGCTTGGTCAGGGTCCTTGAACACAACACGAGCCTAACGTGGTATATGTCTCGACTGACAGGGGTGCAGTTCTGACGGAGAGCACCAGAACGCCACTCCAGCACTTCAGAAATTGCAGTAGGCCTACCGATAAGGAGCCGGAATGAAATGAATGGGCTGTGATTTTAGTTTTTTTAAGCAGAGGTCAATAATTTGTACGGCCCTCTGAGGATATTGTAAAAATTGAAATGGCCCTTGAGAGGAAAAAGGTTCCCCACCCCTGCCCTATAGCAACAACTACCATTCTCTGAAGGCAAAACACAGTCTTTGGATAGACAGATAGACAAAAGGCCATACAATAATGTGGTGCTGATTTACATCTGGCTTACTGACATAATAGATTTTGACTGAGCATACATTTCTTCTGGAAAATGTTTATATTCATATACAAGATGCCTTCCATGTGAGTTATACCTCCCATCTTGGCAGCTGATATACTGGTGGAGATTGTGTGAAGTGACTGCTCTCAAACGTTCCTCATTGTTTGCAGCCCACTGCCTCCAACACGCTGCCTGAAGAGTGCGGCTAAGATGTGTGTTTAACTGGCTCCCCGGAGAGGGAGAAACTACAGAAGATGACAGGCCTATGCATCACTTCCTCTCACTCTGTGTGCTTGTCTTTTGTTTCACCGGCTCGGATATCCATTCAATCGAAATATTTTCCCTGGTTACCTTGAAATCATCTAACTACTTCAAAGGATGTGACTCTGTTTTGAGAGTCTGCTGATGAGACATTTTCGCACCACACAAAAGATATTTGGTTTAATTAAATATTTGTTCGTGCCCACAAGAATGGTGAAGTTATTTATAGTGGCCACCTTTTCATTAAGGACACACAACTGCATCATCCGCCCATTTGAAGCAACAAAAAGCGGCTCAATGTCCGTATATTTAGTAAACACAGTTAACACAAAACACAGGAGCTGATGTCGATACAGACAAAAGGGAGGAACAGTAACTGTCCTATGTTTAATGAGAAAAACTCAATGGTCCATGTTCAGAATGAGGCGAGCCCATTCATGCAGACATCATAGCGGCAACAAATGAGAGCTTAAGCTGTAGAAGGCAATGTGTTGACATTTCGTTTTTAGCATATTACATTTAATTGCATCTATCCATCTGGAGTTTCAAATACCATGAGCAGTTCTGGGGGACAGACCATAGGGACAGACAGATGCATGGGCAGACAACCAAACATACGGAGCAAACGCAAGACCAACACTGGTCGGTCCACAACAGCTTTGCAGAAGAAACACATCCTGTCTGTAGATTAACGGGGTGTGTACAAAATGCAGAATTACTTTGGATTTAGTTAGAAAAATCTCTGTTTCCATCAGCCCCAGAGGATTGAGCCTTACGTGGGAGATTAATATCACTTAGTCTGGCAAACAGTAGAAGAGCAGAATCTTTACATCTAGCAAAACACATTTTTATATTTATCTAATACTTAAAAGCATGCTCTAAGAAAACTCTGAGTTGGATTATTACAAATACTTTACAATTTGGTGCTCCAGTACCACCCCACACAGCCATGGTTCCGTGTTCCGGTTCCGTGACCAGCAGCCATGGTTCCTGCTCCAGTACTGGCCCACACAGCCATGGTTCCGGCTCCAGAACCGGCCCACACAGCCATGGTTTCGGCCCCAGCAGCCATGGTTCCGGCCCCAGCAGCCATGGTTCCAGCCTTAGTCCTGGCCCCAGTAGCCATGGTTCCGGCCCCAGCAGCCATGGTTCCAGCTCCAGAACCGGCCCACAAGGCCATGGATCCGTGCACCAGTACCGGCCCACACAGCCAAGCTTCCGTGCTCCATTACCTGGCTTACACAGCCAGGGTCCAGGCTTCTGTTCCGTGCCCAACAGCCATGGTTCCGGCTCCAGAACCGGCCCCAGCAGCCATGGTTTCGGCTCCAGTACTGGCTCTCCAGCCGACGCCAGCTCCCCGTGTCCTGTCGTCGTACCGGCCGACTCCAGCTCCTCGTCTCCTGTTGGCTCTCCGGCCGACGCCAGCTCCCCGTGTCCTGTCGGCGTACCGGCCGACGCCAGCTCCCCGTGTCCTGTCGGTGTACCGGCCGACGCCAGCTCCCCGTGTCCTGTCGGCATTCCGGCCGATTCCAGCCCCCCGTGTTCTATCGGCGAACCGACCGTCTCAAGTCTCCTCTCAAGTCCCCTCTCGAGTTCCCTCTCAAGCCCTCTCTCAAGCCCTCTCTCGAGTCCCCTCTCGAGTCTCCTCTCGAGTTCCCTCTCGAGTTCCATCTCAAGTCCCCTCTCCAGTCCCTACTCAAGTCCCTTCTCTAGTCCCTACTCAAGTCCCTACTCAAGTGCCATTGGAGGTTCCGCTGGGGGTCCTGCCAACTCCATGTCCTGTCTCATTGGGGGTCCCGCCGACTGCTCTTCTGCCGGGGGTCCTGCCAGCCCTATGTCCGGTGCCGTTGGAGGTCCCGCCGACTACTCTTCTGCCGGGGGTCCTGCCAACCCTATGTCCTGTCCCGTTGGGGGTCCCGCCGACTACTCTTCTGCCGGGGGTCCTGCCAACCTTATGTCCTGTGCCGTTGGAGGCCCCGCCGGCTACTCTTCTGCCGGGGGTCCTGCCAACCCTATGTCCTGTGCCGTTGGAGGCCCCGCCGGCTACTCTTCTGCCGGGGGTCCTGCCAACCCTATGTCCTGTCCTGTTGGGGGTCCCGCCGACTACTCTTCTGCCGGGGGTCCTGCCAACCCTATGTCCTGTGCCGTTGGAGGTTCCGCCGGGGGTCCTGCCAACTCTATGTCCTGTCCCGTTGGGGGTTCCGCTGACTGCTCTTCTGCCGGGGGTCCTGCCAGCTCCGTGTCCTGTCCCGTTGGGGGTCCCGCCAACTGCTCTTCTGCCGGGGGTACTGCCAACACCATATCCTGTCCTGTTGGGGGTCCCGCCGACACCTGCTCCGCCGGGTTTCCTGCCAACACCGTGTCCTGTCCCGTTTCGGGTCCCATCGACACCAGCCCTTGCTCCGTCGTGGGTCCCACTGACACCAGCCCAGGTTCCGTCCAGGGTCTCGTCTACGTCTGACCCGACAGGGGTTCCACCAGCTCCTGCCCGTCCTTGTGCCCGGCCCCCTGAGTTCCCCAGCCGCGGTCTTCGCCCTCGAGCGCGGCCTCCTGAGTGCCGCGGTCTTCGCCCTCGAGCCCGGCCCCCTGATTTTCCCGGC